AATCGCACCTCCAGGGATCTTCAGTTGTAGTTGTCTTTATTTTATTTTATTTTATTTATCAAATTTATATAGCCACCCATTTCATGAATATGACTCTGGGTGGCATGCAATAAAAACAAAACAATTAAAAACAACCTTTAAAACCATTAACAATTAAAAACATAAAAATATAAACAAAACCACGGAGGAGTGAATTCAAGGTCTTACATGCAATACAGCCATTTCACAGGCTCCCTGTTTCCATGGGATCCCCAAGCCCGCTGACAAAACCAAGTTTTAAGGGATTTCCAGAAAATTAGTAGGGTCGGGGCCAGTCTTACCTCTTGGAGTGAGGATGATGTTCCATAGAGCAGGTGTCATGGCAGAGAAGGCTCACCTCCTGGGTCCCTTCAGATGGAACTCCATAGCAGATGGGATCTGTAACATACCCCTCCTGCCAGACCTGATGTAACCAGGGAGAAGTAGTCCCTCAAATAACCCGGCCCCATGCCATGTAGGGCTTTAAAGGTCAAATTCAACACCTTGAATTGAACCTGGAAGCAAACTGGCAACTAATGCAGCTCATGGAGCAGAAGTGTAACAGGTGCATTTCTAGGAGCACACATAACTACCTGTGTCACTGCATTTTGCACCAGTTGAAGCTTCCAGATAATCTTTAAAAGCGTGTTACAGTAGTCCATTTAGGAGGTGACCAGGGCATGAGTAACTGAGTAACTGAGAGTAGAGCGTCCCAAACACTTACTTGTGTTTACAGTAGCCAAGTTGTGCATAAGAATCCACCATCAAGCTAATTCCAGAATAAGGGCATATTTTAATTGCCTTAGTGAACAAAAAGAAGACAAAAAGGGAAACTACAAAAAATGGAGAAAAGGAAAAAAGAAGCAGTGTTTGTGATTATGTATATATGTATAAATAAATAAATAAAAATTTTCAGCCAGAGCATTAAACTCTGACCACACAAATCTAATACTGATCAGTCTTTTTATTATGTTGATACAGAACATAAGCAGAGAGCAAACATGTCATCAATCCAGGATTGTAAATCCAGAGTGACACTAGTTTGCCATTATAAATTTTTTTTTTTGTTTTTTTGGCTAAGCTCCATGTCTGGTAAATCCATAGTTCTTCATATTTTGATAATATCCCAAGTTTGTGTATGTACATTAAACCATTAGCATCTTCAAATCTTATTCTTTCCAAAACCGTACACCAAATGTATGCCTGTTACACCAGAATATAATAGTAGTGGGCAAAGCTATATAACATGTATAAGCATCTCCATAATCATTTTACACTTCCAGCATAATGTCCAATAAGCAAGCCACCTGAACATGTGTATAACGTTTCTAATTAAGGAGATATGGCTTGTAAGATTGTTTCTATATTAGAAATCCTAGCTTTCATAAAGGAGTGGAATGTGCTTGGGCTAAAACGTGGTTTGGTTTTGGCATACTGGACAGAATATGCCAAATCTGACTGCTGCTGTCCTTACCATTAGCATGGAATTCTCTGTGTAACATAGGCTAGTAATCTAAGCTACATCTTCTGTATTTCACCAAAATTCATTATGTGAAAGCCTCAGTTGATGAAAACCATTGTGGGCAATTGAGATCAGTATGGTGATGACTTTGGCATATGGAAGATTGAAGAGAATCTAAGAGGAGTAAAGTATTAAAATCATAAATTGACTGCATGTCTGTGAAGCTAAGAAACAGGGATGGTGTAATAGAACTGACTGAAGGTTGTCTGATCTTGTGCCATGGAATTGGTGAATCCATGCAAGAAATGAATTGTCTGGTTGTTAGGGATAGAAATGTTGATCCATCATGTGTCTGCCTTGCAAAAATCAATTCCATGTTGAGGATTATTATAGCAATATCCCAGTGCTATCATAGAGATGAGGCCACAGTTAAACTACTGAATACACATCTGGTTTCTGATATTCTGTCCTGGACTGAACCTGAGTTCTAATTCTAAAAAGGTTACTCATGGCCAGAGAGATATAGAAAATATTCAAGTCAGAGCAGAAGTCACATTCCAGGCAACGAAGAACTGTACATAAAGCTTGTACATCAGCAGTCATGCTTTGAGGCACAAAGGTGACCAGTCACATAGATTCCCAAGTAATAGACTCTGCTTCCATAAATGAGCTGCTGTCTTGCAGACAGTTTTATACTAGAAGTTATAACTACCCTACTCTTACAGAACTGGTCCTATTTATGAGACTTCTGATTATATATTGTGAACCAGAAGTCATTCTGGAATCTGGCCATATACAAGAATGATAATAAATAAATGAAGTGCGATGTGCCACAAGCTCATCCAAGTTAATTGAGTCAGAAGCCTTAATTCAGCTACTGCTTATCCAACCTGATCTGGCCACAAGGTCATCCAGGCATGCTAGATATTCTTACCTGAATCATAATTCCCAAGGTGCCTTCCCTTGCAAACAAGCACTTTGATACCTCCTTGCCTTCTGATATTCAGGCTGGTGACAACAGTCTTTACATAGGCTGTGAAGTTAGATCTCAGTCTTGAGTAGAGGATCTTAAGCTAGTCGTGACTGATTTGGGTACCAGTCCTATACTTGGGTTTGACTGAACTGGAGAGGGTTAGGTGAGTGGGATTGCCTGACTCCTCCTTTTCTCTGATGAAGCCAAGTTTCTGAAGCTTGAAAAGGATATTGTAGAGCTAGAAAAAGCACAAAAACAGGTAGCCA